CACACACACACACACACACACCTATCCACCCCCCACAAATCCCACACACACAGACACACCCTCCCACCCACACCCTCCCACAATATACAAGAGTAAGACTTCATTTTAAGCTAGAATACTATTACCTCTATGTACACTACACAAACACATGTAAATAAGGACAAAATTATTTTTTGAAATGAAATTAATGAATGTTGCAGTATGATTCATTTTTAGAATATAATTTGGTATTTTTCTGATTCAGAGATGGCAAAACCCCTTGGCTCAAAGGAGTAATTCTGCGGGGCAAGGGAAGGGACTTCTGGTAGCAAAAGTCAGGGACTAGGGGGTGGGATTTCTGGCCCCAAGATGGCGACCAGGGTGTGGGGCACCTGTCAAGGTGCGGGGCTACCCATGCAGCCCTCAATAGCTTGCCAAAACTCGGTAAGCGGCCCTCTGCCTGAAATAATTGCCCACCCCTGGCTTAACCCCTGCCTTGACCCCAGTAACAGAAGAGCCAGGACTCTGACCTGAACGTGCATTTCATTTTGAAAGGAGGGATGGAGGGGATCTTCGTTAATCCTGCTTGTTGCTACTTGGTTTCCTATAACATCAGTGCCATCAAAGAAAATGTACTCAATAAACAGCTGTCCCCTGTGCAGTGTCCTCTATTGTTCTTCATCTGGTATTCAGAGCCAGCCTGGCTTTTGTCACCCAGCAGAGCTACACCAAGGCTTGATTTGGAGATTGATGAAGTCAATGGGAATCTTTCCACTGTCTTTAATGGGCTTTAGAGCAGTCCTTTGGGTAGTCAGGTGCAAAGCATGCTTCCATCTGTCCATAATATAGTGCCACTAGCTGTTGTTGTTGCAAACCCTGAAAGCCTGATAGAACTGAATCAAAGAGAATCCTTTGTATGGGAGGCCTCCAAGGAACGCCCAGGAAAAAAGCTGGAGCATCTACAGTGAGTGCAGGAGCTGGTGTCTCAGCAACTAGTGCAGTGTCTTCCTTTAGTCCAGAATCAGAACCTTGGTGTGGTGCTAGAGGGTGGAGGTTTCCTCTTCTGCTTTTGCAGGTTTCCTCTTCCACGTACCTATAGCCCAGGTCCTGGGCACTTGAGGCTATTCAAGATTCTTTGTCACTTTAAGGCAGGAGTTTTCAACCTTTTTTTAAGAACTTTACCCCTTCTGGTGATGGCAGCCAGACATGGAGTGGAGGGGCAGGGAGTGGGGCTCACACGTGGTGGCATGGGGCTGTGGGTTGCAGTGGCCATGTGTGAGCTCTGCCTCCCCCCCACCACACCTGGCTGTCCAGGAGGCACCGCTGCCCTCACCCCACTCCTGCCCTGGCCCTGCTCCTGGAGGACAGCCGTGCAAGGTTGTGGGTGGTGGCACTCCATCCCCACCTGCCCACGTGTACCCCCTAGGACCATTCCAAGTACCCCCCAAGAGTACACGTACCCCCAGCTGATAAGCCTTGCTTTAAGGCTTTTCAGACACTATCACTTGGGTCATCTGAATCCCAAATCCCTTGTGATATCCCTGCAGGAGCTTACACCACATACAACTTAGCCCTTTCCTGAAATCCTTCCTGCTATCTACTCAATATAGCATACTTCAGAACTTCTCTTCCTAACCTATTGCATCGTGGTGGTGTGGATCTGCTGCCTTCTAGCAGAGAGACTGCTACATTTTGGTGGCAAGATGCACAGTCTCAGTATGCAAAGCTTGTCCTGACATTTTTTTTTAATGGAAAATGTGTTTTACATGGCAGCAGGAGATGCCTCCAAGGAATTGGTTCTTCCTGTATGAGATCTGCCAGAATGATGCAGCCCTGCTATTTTTTATTCTGCAGGTGGGCAAAAAAAGGCCAAGTTATAAAGGAAGCATCAGGTGACTTCTATGAAACCGTTGTGGACCACACCTTTTTCTTCGAGCCCGTATCCTGTGAGGTGACCAATGCTTTGGGCAGTACTAACATCAGCAGGACTGTAGATGTCTACTGTAAGTAATCTCTTTGCCTCCACACCCTCTGGAATATGACTGCCTTGGGTTGACTCTTGTCTACTGTGCCATTGGCTGATTTTAAAGGGCTGCACTTAGCAAAGCTGCATAAATTAATGAGTGGAAATAGATCCCTTGGATGGCTCTGACAAGTTCAGCTTGGAGTCAGAGGGAACAGGGCTTCCTGCATAATTTAGTTACTAAGGTTTCAATAACCCAAGGCATAATATTTGACAGTACAAGTTCACTTCCTGACATACCCGTTCCAAGCCAGTGTGATGGGATGCATGGACCCAATGACTTGTTATACAGGGAACCAGGCACAGTCTGGGGTTGATAATCCCTGTTTTTATCTTTGGCTGCCTTGGCTGAGGTGAGAGATATGCCTAATAATTATGTTTGTTGGTATAGCTTGTATACGCATCGCCAGGCATCTCCAGGTGACATCATCAGCTCTGTGCTACCTACTTCTGCACCTTATGGTATAAGGAGCCTAGTGGAGCTGAGAGGTGGCATGGCTGAAATACATTCTGCTTCTGCAATCCTACCTCAGCAGTGTGGTCTTTTGAGATTATGCCAAATGGTACAAGTTCCAGTGGCTGCTGGTTGCACCCAAGATCTGGGAGTTGCAAGGTGGTAGAAAGCTACTAGTGGTGTGCAAAGCAGGCCCTATGCGATTTGGACTTGGATTCAGCCTGAATCAGGGCAGCGACTTGATTCATCGATTCGGATCGCTGTCCCTGATTCAATATAGCTGAATCCAAATCTGAAGATTTGATGCTGATTTGGAGAATCACCGATTCAGACAGACACAGCTTTCAAAGTTTTTTCTACATACCTTGAAGTACCAGTGCATCTTGTGATCCCTGAAATGCTGGGGTGGATGGAGCATCCCACAGCAGTGTG